CAAAAAAAAAAAAAAAAAAAAAGCCTATTTTGCTGCCCTTGAAACTCATGTCTTATTCTGATCCCTTTTCTTATTATAATCTCTTGATTTGTGACCAGATTTTGAAAGGAGGGAATAATAATCTTATACCCTTTCCCTTCATAACATGTAAGGACATCTTCCAACTTCCTTGAGATGTCCAGATCAACTCCCCTCTCTAACAGGTTTCTCCAGGTCAAGACTACACATATACTTTACTTCTAATTTCACTCTTTCTTTCAACTGATACAGGCTGTAGACACAGATGACCTCACCCAGCCCCAGAATGAAGACTGAGCTCCTCAGTATTACAAAGTCAAGATTACAAAATCAAGAGTTTGTAGGGGCACCTGGCTGGCTCAGTTAGTAGAGCATGGGACTCTTGATCTTATCAGTTTGAGCCCCATGTTGGGTGTAGAGATTACTTAAAAATAAAACCTTCAAAAAAAAAAAAAGGCTATTGGTTGACTAGAGAATTACTGCAAATTGGAGGGTGCTTGCCAGGATGTGGTGAGATAAATGCCTATTCTCCACTTTTTAACAAATTCAGATCTAAAATCCAATTCCATAGGAGTGTACTAGTGAAATAAGGAAGATGTTTCGGTTTTGAAGGTTGTGATCACATCCACCTCCACTGTGACTTCTGTCAGGAAAAATTTTCAAGGAGTTTGAAACGGATAGCACAAAGTTTCGAAGGTACCTTGAGTAGGACGACTGTCTTAGTTAGTGTGGCTGCCGTAGCAAAATGCCGCAAACCAGGTGGCTTAACTACAGAAGTTTATACCTTAGAGTGCCAGAAGGTGTAAAGTCCCAGATCAGGGTGGTCCACGAGGTCGGGTTCTCGTGAGGGCCCTTCTCTGTTTCAAAGGGTGTCTTCTTGCTGTGTTCTCACATGGCTCAAGAGCACAGTGAGGAAGCAAGGTCCCTCAGGATTTTTTACAATGACCCTAATCCTATTTTGGAGGGCTCTACCCTCATGACATCTAAACCCTACATACCCTCCACAGATCCCATCTCCTAATACCATGACATTAGGGGGTAGGGTTTCAACATGAATTCTGGAGGGACACATTCAGTCCATAACAGCGATTTTCACTGGTTTTAAGCGATCTCACAACTCTGAGTTGTAGGAAACTGGTAACAGTGCAAATAATTTTCATCCACAGAAATGCAAATGAAATTGTGTCCAGTGGAATGTGAATGATCATTGTCCTGGAAATTGACAGTTAAAAACAAATCTATTTGTAAATTTGCTTCAGCATTCCAGATTGTCTATAAATATGTAGTACTTCGAATTTTTTTTAAATTTGTTAACTTATTTTTTAACATTAGTTTCTTTAAATTCAATTAATTAATGTATAATGTATTATTGGTTTCAGAGGTACAGGCCGGTGATTCATCCTGAGTTTTCTTTTGAGCCAGTTGTAACATCTTACTGGTTGTTACATTATCCGACACACACTCATTTTCACTTGTATGAGAGTCATCAATTTATTTTCTTTTTTTTTTACACAGTCTTTTAACCATTTGAAAACTAGGGGTATACACCAGTGGCAGAAACAAAATACGAACTTGTGGCTGGCAAATGCAGATGGCAGAACACGGTTTGGCTCTGAAACTAAAATGGGCCATCGCTACCCCTTCGCCCCATGTCTATACCGGGCACCCAGCGGACACGCTGGCCCCGCAGCTCTGGGAAGGCTCACGTACTCTGTTAAACACCAGCGCAAAAGCCAGAGACCACAGGAGCACAGCTGAGCATCAGGGTCGCCCAAAAATGTGGGTCAAAGGAGGAAAACTGTTACCCTTCCTCACATTTTTCTTCCAAGGGGGAGGACAAAGGAAAGGGTAAAGCAAGTTAAGTCTCTTCCCAATAATTCCAAGAGGCATTAGCGAGTAAAACAGAAAGGGGAAGTTCCTCTTAAGATGTTTTTTTGGCTCTTGTTTTAAAACCAAAAAAGCCAATGTGCTAGCTAGACCTGAAAAGCTGGCAGCATCCTTTTTTTCCTTCTAGAACCTTCCGGGGGCGCCCGCCTCCTCTCGCTCCCGTTACGTGCCTTTCTCTAACTCAGCCGGGTCTCCCGAAGCAGCGACGCGCTCCTCCGGCGTCTCCACGAGCCCCTGCCCGCTCGGCTCACAGCGGCGTCGGGAGGACAGGGGCCCCACGCGCAGCAGGTCGGCTCTGCGTCGCCCGCGCGCGTTTAACGGCCGCGGAGACGCCGTCCGCCCGTCTCCCCGCGGTCGGTCCG